GAACATGACAAATGTTCAACTTGCAAACCCAAGCCCAACTAACCCTCTTCTGCTTTTGGGCACACAAAGCCTTGACGCGCTTTCTTTCGACGGATATACCGACTTGCTTCCGCAATTTGTTCCTTGGGCTAAACTTCGTCGTTTATCAATCTGCACGCCCGTACAACTATGGCTTAGCAGCAACCGTCACATTCCCCTTGGCTATTCTCGAGATATGTGCGTCACTAGAAGCTTTCACCTTCTCTTCTGGGCACGCCGAAACGGTTCTTTTCCTGCCATTCGCTACCACCCTCTCCCTTCCTCGCCTAACGACCCTTGCAATTGATGGCTTCACACCCGACAACTGGACAGACCTGCTTCAATGTGCCTACTGTACTATTTAGACCCTAAGTTCAGGTAATGCGTAAGAGCACCATCTGAACTGAACTCCCCCAAATGCGTAATGCGTAAAAAGTGCGGCTGAACCTCTTACATATTTGTTCCAAAAAAGGAAATTTTTGTGCAAAAAAATCAAAATTTTTCTAAACTAAATTTCGCCTTCCTCCCAAAGGCGTGAAGAGTACAACTTATTTGATGTCTTATGGCGCTTTCCACGGCCCATTTCCTCTGGTGCCCCAGCAACAAGTTCATCCACATTCAAGTCCAGTGACTCCGCTTCCCCGTCCCGCTGAATTCCACCGTCGTCACCCAGTAAAAATGATGCCGAAGATGTGTTGCCTTGAACAGCTGCGAATGCGACATTGATTGGTGTGTCGCTATCGTCGTAGACCGTCTCGGGCGAATAGATCTCCTCCTCGACACCGGTTGGTGATGGGGACATGATTTCTGGTGTTTCGTCCTCCGTCACTTGCGTAAGCTCTGCATGGAGGTCGGGATGGTCTTTCGAGAGACGGCGGAGTTTGGCGAGGGTTGTAGGCGATGTTAGACACTCCTGTGAGCAGTTGAGATCTCCGACAGCACACATTTCGAAGGCCTATATTGGTGTACAATCAGACAAGATGTAAAGAACAAGTGGATGGAATTCACACCTTCTTGACGAGTTCCACCTGCGAGATATCCTTCACGGCCTGAAGAACCCACTGAACCGACCGATTCCGCAGGTTTCCAACTGTGGTGTCAAGCTTGACCTTCGCAGGAGAAGCATTAGACGCGAGCTGGCGAAGAGCCTCATCAACCACATCCCGATGGGCTGAGCGCTTAATGCTCAGCTTCAATGGGCGCTGAATCCCAACGTCGAGTGGCTGCCAGATGCCTGTACATCCACCAGGCACGAAAACAAGCGCAATCGTCGGGTGGTTGGAGCGCATCCAGCTGATGAAATCCGCTGAGCGATGCACTGACCAGCAGTCAATCTTCCAGATTGAGACTTGGGAAGAAGGGAGATTGTGCTCGGCCTTTTGGCGCTCGAAGTACGGAGCGATGATATTATCGACGAGGGCGTGCATGGTCTCATGGTTGGACCAATACGAGTCGTTGCCGGAATTGGTGAAAACATGACCAGCACGGGTCGCTTCTGCATACCCACGGGAGAAGACCGATGGTGCTGATAGCTTGGTCTTCCCACCGTAGATAACCTGGGCGAGAACGTTCCCATTTGCAGCGACGGATGGAACAAGCGTGAAAGCACGCTTCTCTTCGAGCCCTACAGCAGCAACCTGCTTTGCTCCACGGGTATTCCATGTTGACGCATTTCCCTGGGCGTAGATGACCTGGGTTTGGTCGGTGTTGACTCGCAACGCAGCTGGAATGTTGTATTGTCGAATGAGCCAAGCCTCTCGCAGAAAGGCTTGCTCGAGAATCGCTTCGTGGTTGTCGGGTAGCTTTTGCGCTGCTTTTCGTCGCTCGTCGCTCGCTCCATCCCAGCTCCTCTCGAAGGTAACGGCGAACAAAGCTTTCAGAGCAACGGAAAGCAGTGTTGCCCGAGCCAATTGGCGGAAGGGTCGAGAGTGTTCGGCCAATCGTTTGTTGGGCTCGTCTACCCCGTTGTCCTCAAGATCGGCCTCAGTTGACTTCTGTTCTGAAGTGAGAACGAAAGCACGTTGAAATCACCAGCACATACCCGTTTCCGTCCACGTTTTGGTATATCTCCCCTTGCAATTCGCTCGTTTCGAAGCTTAGCACGATAAGCCTTCATGTACGCTGCATTCTTTGCCCGCTTTTCCTCAAGCACAACCCGCTCTCGATTTTGTATCTCCCCTTTCTTTCGTTCTGACTTCTCCGCATATTCACGATGCTGCGCTCAAGACGAACTTCCTTCTCCGCTGGTGTTTCCTTGCTGAAATAGGACAAGATGGAATTCGTCTTCTGCTTCGGCAGTTCAGCGTTGGTCGTTGGTACTGGGGATGATCGTCGAGGAAGGGGAGCAATGGGTCGAGGCATGGGGTCGAAAGAGAGAGAGTTTGGGGAAGATGGAAGGGAGAGCAAATCGACATCGGAGAGTGACGTACTCCCAAAAACGTCCGCCCGTCTTGTTGGTAGACGAAGGCGAGTCCTGCGTAAGAAAGAGGAGTTGGCGCCGGTATGTCCTCCTTGTCGTCAAGCTGGTCCCTGTCGTCTTTGTAGATTCGACGCCCGTTCAGGTGTCGCGTTTGGTGTGGGTGCATTGTCATGCCATTTGGGGCGTTTCAAACTCGAACGGATGGGCTCAGGCGAGATCTGGTTGTCGAGGGAAAAGGTGAAGGCATGGGAAGAGCCGTCCTCACGTCGGCCAAAGCTGGGTAAGTGGCCATCGTCATCGTCGTCGTCAAGAGCCGGACCGTGACCCGAGTGACTCTCACGCTCTTCTTCTGCATCCATCTCCGCCTCGAACTGGTCTGCTTGAAGCTAAAGGACTTGTTAGCATGGCAAAAACGACATTCAAATCCTCTCACCCTTTCCAAAGTCCACCTTGCGACTGCATTGAAAGCCTGCAGCCTCGCTACGATCCACTTCTCTCCAACCTTCGTCAACGACACCGCTGGGTCAACATAATGCTGTAGGGCGTTGATAGCTAGCGGCCCGCAAGAGAATCCATCGTCTTGATGGCCAATGGGTAAGCTCTCGACTTGTACGTCCCGTCCCGAATGCAGCAGCACCCACCACTCACAAATCTCTCGCAGCTTTGCCGGTATAGGTTGCTTGAACGAGTCCCCATATAAGACTCGCACTCGCTCGTTGGAGACTTCGATGGCGGCGATATCCAGTCGGTGATTGTTTTCGATTTTGCCCAGATGTGCAATCGTGAGCAGCGTCCCGTTGTCCTCTGCCAACTCGTCTCCAATCTCCCTTAGCCAACGAAATCCACTGTCTGAGTTGTATTTGTGCTGCTGCCCTTCGTACGCTCTCAACAGCGTCTCCATGAATGCCGTACTCTTCACCCGAAACCGGCGCCAACATCTCCGTCGACCTCATCCTCAATCTTCTGCCGCAGCAACTCCAACAGATCGTTGATCTGCGAATCGGACAGCCAAGCGGGTCCCACAAGACGAGAGAGCTTGTGAAAAGGCTCCGTATCCGACAAGCCTGCTGGCTTCGCAGCTGACCACGGAATCATCGAAATCAACTGTTTTGCCTCCTCGAGAAGCTCGACTCGAGAAGATCTGTCTGCACGGGCACTCCGTTCTGCCCGTTCTCGCTCGCTTTTGATAAAGTCGGACGACTTTAGCCAACGAGCCCGCACCTTCCTCGCCTCAATGACTTCTATCCAGAATGTCATAACCCACATCGGGAAAGCGTTTTGCAGTCCCGTCCAAATGGGCATAAACCATAGAACGATTCCCATCGAGCCACGCCTCTCGACTGTATTCCAAGATCTGCCGAGCTAGCTTCTCGTTGGGCACTGGCAGATGACGCATTCGCAGGAGTGTGCCGCTGTCCAAAGTGTCCGGCTCGTACTGGCTGAAGAAGTCGGTAGGCTTCTTTTCCGTGGCGATGGGGGTGATTAGTGGGAGTGGGAACCGTAGGAATTCGGGAATGGGAAGAGTAGGTGCGGGAAGTATATTGGTGGCAGTGGGTAGGGGGATGGAGAAGGCTTCCTTGGCAGCGCGACGGACGCGTCGCGGCACTTCCTTCATGGTCTTGCCACATCCACGAAAGGTTTCGATGTCATGCTGGCTGGATTCGCCTTCGGAGTCAGACGAGTCAGACATGGTCGGCGTGGAGGTGGGGGCAAGGTAGGGACTGCAGAAAATTTTATTCATTGATTCGCGTATGGCTACTAGATCTGCAATCAAAGATGCTAGTAGTGAAAATCTCCAGAATACCCCCATTAAATGCTTAGTTCCCCCCTCGCAACCTTCGGCAAACTTGGCCCGAGGACTGAACTGAACTTCTGCAAATCCGTAATGTGTAAGATGACCCTCTGAACTTCTAACCCTGTAAGTTCAGCGCGTAATGCGTAAGACCGGCTGAACTTAAGGTCTAAATAGTACAGTAAGGCAATGTCCCGCCAGAGTCGACAAACTTGGGCCAGGAGAAGCGGTCCTTCCTCAGGGACGATTGCGGAGTCTCGATGAAGTGGAAGTGTTGCAAGGAATATTCAAGTTGCGCGAAGTACATCGTCTGGTACCCTCCTCATCGGAGAAAGCAGGACCCGATGGTCTTCAATAAGCTGTTTGTGCTTTTCAAGTTGCGCCTTCGCCGCCACAAGTGAATCCTGGATGCGAATAACCTCCTTCTCCAATCTTATGAGTTCCGGCTCTGATAGGGCAATAAAGTCACGTATGAGCTCAATCTGGCCTGGAGATGGAATAGAATTGGTGTGGAGTAGATCGGCAACCTGAAGAATGCGCATGGTTTCTGGCAAGACGTTCACGTGTTCCGTGGCAATGGTTTTTTATCCCGCCGGATCTGATCATCGAAACTAAAGTATGAGCTACAACTAAATTTATCGCTCATGGAATGGACTGAGAAACCAGTATTTCTCCCAGCTTCTAATCAAACCCATCGCACAACACGCACAACTCATCGCAGCATGAATAAATGAGCGATTTCCTCAACCCGCTCACTTACACTTGATCCCATCAGCGACTCCGAGTCTCCTTTCTCAGAAACGCAACATCGATAGTCCCCTCCCCCAATCCTCGCGCCATGATGACCTGTGTGTCTCCTGGCATGACATCAATAGCATTATCCGACCAACGAACGTCTTCGACCGAGCTCAAAACGAGCCCTTTGATGGGTCGCTCAGCCCGAACGGTGACCGTGGCCTCTTCTCCGCGTAGAACGTCAAGCACCAGCCCGGGTTCCCGCAACACTCGGGGCTCAATGAAACGGAATGGTTGCGGCCAGTCAGCGAATCGCGCCAGAACTTCCCCCGTTTCAGGGTCCCGCAGGCGAGCAGCGACAACGACCGAATATGTGGTCGTGAATAGGTCATCTCCAGTTGGATTGGGTGCAGCAAGGTGGTTTGGCGGGCCAGGACAGGGTATCGAGAGTAACTCGGTTGCTTGGTTGGGGAGGAGTGTGATGGGATGGGTCTCGGTGTGTGTCCATGCAGTTAGGAGATCAACGCAGTGGATTTCAAGTGTCGCAGAGTGCGCAATCAGGGAGGCGCTGGTCCCCCAGACATCCAGCGTCGCGCCATAAGAGCGGAAGGTGCTGAAGTCATAATACTGCTTTGGAGTCAGTCAAAGAATCGTTCGGAACAGCCCGGTACCTGAGCTGGACGGTCATTGTCGCGGCTTTTGTGCACTGTCCTCATAATGCCGACAGTGATCGGCGCCAGCTGTCTTGCGATGACGTAGTATACGGGTTTGGGGCGAAGCTGAGAACGATGAGCAAGTCAGTTATAGGTGGCCGAGGACATACGAAATAATCCGCAATCGCCCATGACGTTACTGGCCAACAGTCGTTCATTTGCCAGACAAGAACGCCAGCAGTCTTCCCGCAAGTCAGAACGGAAGCATAGCTGATGACACCCCACTCACGTATTCTTTTCCCCTCCCTGCCCATTTTCGTCGCCATACTTGATAAGCATAGCCAACAGCCTCGGCCTGGAGAAGCTGGGTGTTGTAGACATACCTAACAATGGGTCAGCTCGTAATGGGTGGGACAAATGGAGATGGCATACGTCTCCAAATCCTCTGTTACGCGGAAAGCTTCGTTCATCAAGATGGCGAAACGCCGCTCGAAGCTCCCAGCGCGGCAATGCTGCGCCATCAAAGCACTTTGTGGATGCCATTGCTCTTTCGGGGCGTCATCCATCCAGTATTCGATGGTCTTCATATCAGGGTGGCCAGGAATACCAAACTCGCTGGCGATGTGAAAAAAGGCTGAGCAGGAGGACAAGGACATACGAAACAAACCGTCCGCCGAGCTGAGCGTAATCTTGATATGGTCGTTCACGACCTCCCCAGATGTCCCAAACATGGACATCACCGATCGTAGGGTCAGCAGTATCCCAACCCTTTCCACCGTAAGGAGAACCACGATGGTATGGAATCGGTTGAGGACCAGTTAAATCCTCAACAACTTTAGGAAGCACCTCCTCGTAAATTTTGATGGCAGGGAAATCTTTCACGTCTGAAAGTCTCGTCAGAATCACGAGTCCAAGTAATAATAATTAACATACCGCCCCACTGAAGGACCATCTGATAGTCTTCGTTGTTTCCGCAAAAGAGTGCGATTGAAGGGTGATGTCGAAGTCGTTTGATGTTGTCTTCCGCCTCTTTACGAACACTAGCGACGAACGAGTCGTGCGCAGGGTATACACCACAAGCGAACTGAAAGTCTTGCCAGACTAGAATACCAAGTTCTAGCCACTGGTGAGGAAAGTCGTGAGAACAGCACTGACAACGGACCATCACAAGTCTCGTAGAACACGTCTGGCTCGTAGACACCGCCGCCCCAGAGGCGCACCATGTTCTGGTTCCCGTCGCGAAGTAGCGTTAGCCACGATCTATAGCGCTCGGGGGTGATCGTTGTGAGCAAATTGTCAGCGGGAACCCAATTCGATCCGCCCATAAACATCCTGACGCCGTTCACTTCAAACAGGAAGGTTGTCCCCGTTCCATGTTGGTCGGCCTCCTCTAAAGGCTCTTGGATCAGGGCAACACGACGGAAACCGATACGCCTCGAATGTGAATCCAACGTATGACCGGCCGCATCGAGCAGCAAGATGGTCACAGTATAGAGGTTCGGAGCGCCATAGCCAACTGGCCACCAGGGCTCCACAAGGTTAGCAAGATTCCATGATATAACGTCGTGCAGGACAGCAATCTCGGCGGGGACAACCTGTTCTTTGAGAAGGGTGTTATTGGAGTCGAGGAGTGATATGTGCAGAGAGGAGACGACGGGGTTACCAGAGAGTGTGACGTCAATGGAGAGGGAGGGGAGGTCTTCCTTGGAAAGGATTGCATGTGTATTGACCTGCTCTATACGAGCGGCAAATGCCTTGAGGGTGATTGGTCGGTAAGGTCCACAAGTCATGAGCTCGGGGCCCCAGTCCCATCTGAAAACAAGGAAGTCGACGATGATAGAGTAGAAAGCCAATTGCTGACCTCCAATCATACTGTGCTTTCCGGACATAAACTCTACTTGGATCACCCAGGTTAGTCGAACCGGCACGAACTTTTCCCATCTCTTTCTCGAGCTTCTTGGCCAAGAGTTGAGCCGATTTGAAATGGAGAAGAAGAGTGTTTTGGGCTTTGAGTGATGGGATGTCCAAAGGGACGATGTGGGTTTGGAACATGTTGTCCGTTACAAGGATTTTCTTGCCATTCTGCGCGTTGAATCAGTGGAATCACGGAAGGAAAACATGGAGACGCACTAGATAGACATCGCAGAGCGTATCGAGTCCGAGAAACTCAAGTAAAGCATGCGCTTCGTTCTCTTGACGGACAAACTCGAAGCTACACTGGTACAGCCATTCTACCTTCCCGATCCCTTCAAGCGGCGTCAGAAAACAGGAGAAACTCGAATGACACGCACATTGAACTTTATGCTCGTTAAATCCGACGTAGGGATCCGGTATAAGCCCAGCCTTGAGCAGTTCCACGTGGATTTCGGAAGGGGAGGTCTGTGCCGTTTTCCAACCGTCATTGTCGTCGAAGACGGAGTTAACCGTCTCGTCGCGTTGTTTCCAGGTCCAATTTGCATCGAGAACTATGTTTCGGGACATGGGAGTCAGACGTTGAGCAGGCAAGGCTTCTACTTCGATGAGATGGAGTTGGACGGCATCGTCCGGCCCGCAAAAAACGAATTCAAAACGATCTTCGCTCCATTGGTACAGTATCTACCGGGCCGTCCTTTGATGACGGAGGGCCAAGGAGTTAGCCGGGGCAAAGAGTCTTAAAAAGAGTGCAAAGATAGGGAAATCGAAGGTTGATCAAAGGTCACATGATGCTGAATTTGTCGCACACCAACAACTTTTATATGTGTTCTTATACTGCCCATTTTTTGTCATTAACAACGTTTCCGAAGTACAGCGAACTCAACGTCGCGATTGCCAGCGTACTTCTGTTATTTCTCGAAGCCACCGTATGTGACGTGACGGTGGTCATCTGCTCAATCTTCTTCAGACACATCGAAACCGTTGGGCTATAAGATGCGCTGTCGGCCATCGCGCCCGCCACGACATGCTTTAAGGCAGCTTCAACTATGCGCCTCTCAACAGTTATTGGGCTGTTCTTTGGAGCACCTTTATGCCTTGCCCAGTTTGGGTTCACCAAGTACAACTTTGACGATGGTGTCACTCACTACCTGCACGACGAAAAGAGAGAAGCCAAGGATGCCTTTGTAGACACCCTACTGAACAAAATGACGACTCAAGAACTAAGTGAGTGCTATTCCTCTCCCTATATACTCTCCCAAATGTTTCTTTAGTCATGCAGCTTCATCTCATGTTTGCGGACAATATGGTTGGCCCACACTCCGACAATAGTCTCTATGGTGTGTGCTAGCTGTCTCGCTCTATCGCTGTTGACTGTTCAATAAACTAGACTTTGCGACTCGCTTTGCGCCTGGTGCCGGCGTTGGTGTTGTCCACGACTGGTATCCGACAAACGCGTCCCAATATAACACCCTTCAGAAGATAAATATCGGAAAATCGCGTCTCAAAATTCCTTTCCTACAAATAGGCGAATGTCTTCATGGCGTCGGCTCTTTCAAACAGAGCATGTTCCCTCAATCCATCGGTATCGCCGCATCTTTTGACCAGGGACTTGCCTACGCAGTCGGTCGCGCTATCGGAGCTGAAGCTCGAAGCATTGGTATCCGTGCCTGTCTGTCGCCAGTTCTGGACTTGGCCAAGGAGCCTCGATGGGGTCGTGTGCAGGAAAACTTTGGAGAAGATTTCGTGCTTACGTCGCACATCGGTGTTGCATACGCAAAGGGCCTATCGAAAAACGGTTCCTTGTCTGATCCTGACGCCGTCGCTCCGGTTGTCAAGGTATTTTCCCATCTGACCTCTTCTTCAAATGTTTAAGGCGTCAACAGCATTTTGCTGCACATGGAAGCCCTCGCGGTGGCTTAAACGCGGCGCCGTTCGTTGGACGAGGTTACCGTCAGGTCATGCAAGAGTTACTGGTGCCCTTCAAAGCAGTGCTTGATTTGGGAGGAGCGAGAGGCGTTATGATGTCTTACAACGAGTTAGACGAGGTAAACCTCCCTCCTCTTTCTTTTCGCCGCTCATAAACCACAAGATTCCTGCTGTCGTACATCCTGGACTTTATCAAGCTCTCGATGACTGGAATTACGAAGGATTCATCATGGCAGACGACAATGGCATGAAGGTAGGTAGCTTTACATTCAACCCTGCGCAGTGCTAACTAATGACTTGAAAAGTATTTACTCACTCGGCATACCGTAGCTGATTCTCCTGCGGACTCAATCCAACAATGGTTCAATGCTGGTGGTGGGTTGCAATTCTATGACTTCTCCCTTGATGTTTTCATGAACGTGGGTGAAACTACACAACCAATGACTCTAACTTTGCTAACGTGTCCAAGGCCACGCTTGACCTCGTTTCTAATCATACGGTGTCCAAGAACACCCTCAAAGCAGCCGCTCGTCGTATTCTAAGCACGAAATACGATCTCGGCCTCTTTGATGATCCATATATTCCTGACTCCATCGACTCCGCCGCTCTCACTGCTTCCCATGTCCCTTTGACACTTGACGCTGCCCATCGAAGTATTGTTTTACTCGAAAATCGCGACAAAACACTGCCCATCAAACCTTCGGAACAGGGCATCAAAACCATCGCGCTGGTCGGGCCTTACGCTGACATCCTCAACTATGGTGATTATTCGGGTCCATGGGGCATGTACCCTACCGCGAACTCGACCACTATTCGACAGGCCATGCTCGATTACCTCTCTGTGAATGCCCCAAATGTGAAGCTGGTCTCAAGTTGGGGTGCAAACACTTGGCTCTACAATGCGCAGTATAACATTCCTGGATACCTTCTATCCACGCCTAAGGGCGCTTCTGGCGGGCTCCTTGCGACCTACTATTCCGATACCAACTTCACCAACGCAGTTTTCACAACGCAGGAAACCCCGAATCGTGACTGGGGTCTTTATCCGCCTCTCGGTCTTCCGTCTAATAATTTCAGTGCTGTTTGGGAGGGACAACTCACCATACCTGTCGACCACGACGTGAGCGGATGGATCGGTGTAGGGGTCTACGCCAATACGACTGCCAAACTCTTCATTGATGGGTCCATCGTCGCCGAATCCCCCGCGACGTTGTCAGGCAATGTAATGGGCAACATCCAACAACTTGCATATGATGTTCTTAATGGAACTGGCCCACCTCCCGGTGCCAGCCCATTCACGTTTGTCAGAGGCGCGACCCACAAGATTCGGGTGGAATACCAGGCCTATAACTATGTGCAGAAGTTCGAGAATGTCAACTCGTTAAATGCTCAGATCGAGTTATTCTGGAACCTGGTGGATAGGAAGGATCCCATTGGGCAAGCTGTCGATATTGCGAAGTCAGCAGACCTTGTTGTGCTTGCAGTCGGGGCAAACTGGAATAGTGATGCGGAGAGTAGCGATAGAGCGACGTTGGGGCTCTCAGTCAACCAGAGTATGTTATCGGCTTTCATTATCTACTTCTCACCTCATGGCAACTGTAGCTGAACTCGCTGACGCGTTGTTTGCTTTGGGGAAGCCCATCGTTATGGTACTTCAAGGGGGTCGACCTTTCGCATTGCCTACCTATTACGCCAAGTCTGCTGCTGTCATCAACGCATTCTTCCCCGGACAGTCCGGCGGCAAGGCCATCGCAGATGTGCTCTTTGGGCTTTTCAATCCAGGTGGCCGTGTACCAATTAGTGTCCCTTATGACACTGGTACATTACCAGCGTACTACAAGTGGGTCCCAACTTACTCTCTTCTAGGATATATTGATTGACTTGAACTTCCAGCTACAAGTTTACTGCCCACGCCAAAAACTATACCGACATTTTCTCTTATCCGACCTATTCATTCGGCTATGGCAAATCCTATTCGAGTTTCACTGTCACTGGCTTCAGCGCCAGCACCAAGTCCTTTTCCGCTGGCGACACCATCACCTTTCGCGCGACCGTAAAGAATGAAGGCCCATATCCCGGCAGTTATGTCACTCAAGTGTACCAACTCGTCCGCGTTTCCACCGTCACCCGACCCCTCCAGCAACTGGTTGCATTCGAAAGAGTATATCTAGATGTGGGCGAGAGCGCGACGGTAGTGATGCCATTGGAAGTGAGTCGCTACCTGCCGATTGTCAATCGGAAGTATCAGTTCGAGTTGGAGAAGGGCGACTATGTGTTTGCGCTGATGGATGGTTCTGGGATTTTTGCTGATAAGAGCATGAACTTGACCGTTACTTGCCGATAACAACGTCGAGTTTTATATTTCTTACTTGATCATGTCTATCCCCGACTCTATTGGGCTCGAGTTAAGCATGCATCTGTACCCTTGCCTAGGTCCCCGTGTTTTGTGGGGTGAAACCAGGGGGCTTACCGTAGCATGGTCACATCGTGACGTCACCGTTTTCCCCCTCAACCTCGATGGTTTTGACCGATTCCGGGCATTTGTGTAGGGATGACCGGGTAACTGAAGCTGGAAATGTATGTGGGCGTATCTCTTTGTCAGCATTTGAAGCTCATTTGCCAAGCTATCGTGGAGTACGACCGGCCCGGCCCACATCTTCTTTTTCAAAACAATCAGCCGCCCTTTAGATAAAGACGGCCATGGTCAGCTGAGCAGCCGCCCCAGGCTTCTGCTTCTCGCCGCCTGCCATGTCCCAACCCGACGAGAAAAAGTCTTTCGACGACGATGTCAAGTCCGGTTCTGACATCCCTCAAGCTGCACTCGTAACAGAGGTTTACAATTCAGACTTGAAGGCGGCCATGGCGAAAAGCCAGTTGAAGGGGTTCAGCCGTCGGAGCTTAATGGTGTGTCTTTTTTCCAGTTTTTTTGGCATGACTTGAAACAGTCCTGAAGCTCTACTTCATCGTCATGGTTGGGTTTCTCAACGCTGTTTCGAGCGGTTTCGACGGAAGCCTTATGAGTGGGATCAACGCGATGCCCCAATACCTCGACCATGTGCGTGTTTTTCTTTACTTCATGCGTGTCGTCTGACGCGCATTCAGTTTCACTATGAATCTGTCGGAAAGTCAACGGGAATCGTCTTCATGATATAGTATGTCCGTTATTCAAGAGGCCAATCACATTCTCAACTCTTTCAGCGTTACGGGAAACTGCGCTGGTGCACTTGTTGCTGGGCCAGCCACTGAAATAGTTCGTTCGTCCACCTCTCTATCACGCAGCACATTTACTTGAGACAGTGGGGTCGTCGAGGGGGCATGTTCATCGGTGGCTTCTTTATCCTAGTTGGCTCGGTGGTCAGCGTAACAGCGCAAACAAGAGAAGCCTTCATTGGTGGCCGGGTGCGTAAACCGTTTCTTACCGTGGGTTTCGGACTCATTGTTCTCTAGTTTGTCCTTGGGTTTGGTATCGCGATTTCTACAACTGCAGCGCCAACATGGGTTACCGAACTTGCACCACCTCAATGGCGCGGTCGACTGGGTGCCCTCTACAACTCATGCTTCTTCATCGGAAGTATGCCCGCAACGGGCTCGATGGTGGGCACTCAAATGATTGGGAGTACCTGGGCATGGCGCCTGCCCCTTCTTCTGCAAATCGGCCCGCCTCTTATCGTCATGTCCTGTGTCTGGTTCTGTCCAGAGTCGCCACGTTGGCTCATTTCACGTGGTCGCACTGAAGAAGCCCGCCAAATTCTCATCGACTACCATTCCAACGACGGCAAGATGAACGCGATAATTGAGCTCGAGATGGCCGAATTTCAACGCCAGATTGCCGTCCAACGCGAGGCTCCATTCTGGGACTACAGTGCTCTTTATAACACCCGCAACCATCGATGGCGGATGGTCTGTCTTTCGTTGATGTGTGTGAACGGACAACTTGCGGGCAACGGTGTAAGTCGTTTTTTCGATCTTTCTGGCCGGTTGCTCATCGACACCCTTAGCTCATCACCTACTTCCTAACCGTTATGATGAAGAATGCAGGGGTTACTTCACCACATACACAACTGGTCTAGTAGGCCCTCTTCCGAAGAAACAATGAAGTATGCTAAACTATTTGTAGCAACTTCGCCAACTCGATCTTGTCGGCCTTCGGTGCATTTTTGGTCAGTGTTCTCCCTCTTGCATGGTTCGATGATCTTAACATCGCATAGGGTGCAGCTCTTACTGACAAGATTGGTCGGCGGCGGCGTCTCTATTGTGGCTCTTTCGTGTTGGCTTGCCTCCTGGCTACTGTTGCAGCCTTATCATCGAAATGTGTGTCCTGTTCTTCCCCAGTCTTCTATGTCTTACATGTCCAGACGGCAAGCCTGGAAATAAGGACGTCAACGGCGCCAACGCCTCGATTGCGTTCATCTTCCTCTTTGGGATCGTCTATGCCTTCACCTACACACCTTTACAGGCGTTATATTGCGCGGAGTGCGTATCTTACCGCTGTGTCTATCCTCGCCGCTGACTGCAGCAGAGTTATGAGCCAGGAAATGCGGGCCAAGGGTATGGCAATCCATATTCTCATCTCTAACATTGCTGGGTACGTCATTTAGCCTTTTGCATGCTTTGACTTATAGTATCCTGAGCTTCATCAACACCTTCGGCAACTCTGTCGGCCTCCAGAAGCTTGGCTGGAAGTACTACTTCGTGTAAGCGCTTCGCTGTTGCTGCCCTTCCCGTCATTGAACCACTACTCAGATTTGTTGGCTGGGACATTGTCGCCTCTGGCCTGTGGTACCTCTTTGGTGTGGAGACTAACGGCCGAACCCTTGAACAACTGGACGAAATCTTCGATGCACCATGGCCCGCACGGGCAAGCACGAGGAAGGTCGCCGTTAAACTGAATGAGAATGGGACTGTGGATGTCGTTGGGAACGAAAAGTGAATGAAAGTCCTGATAACATGTCTCTCTTCTTTGTACTATAATGACAACGGTCGTCTTTCTTCAATCTTTCTTGCTCATTTCAAGTTGTTGGTCACACCAGTAACACCGTTTCTTCTTGCTCTTTCGTTGATGCTTTCAGCTTTCGAATCCCTCCCGCCTGAGCTCCTCGCTATCATCTTAGACGAGCTTCTTCTCGTTCATGCTCATTCGGCTACTCGTGGCCGCTCCTGTGGCGTTGCATTGTCCACTACTTCACGGCTACTCCGCGCAAAATCTTTCGCTTGGTTGTTCTCTGAAGTCAACAACTCTGAATGCGTGTGGCCGCGGACCCTTTGGCCACACATTGTGTTCGTGATTCAGTTCCCTTTGTAGCCACTGCTTGAGCGTTTTCAGAAAGGTACACATCCGTGGTTTATCAGCCACAAACGTCCCGCTGGCTGCCACATCCCCAGCGCTGTACCATGCTTTAGCGTCTATGCCGGCGCTCACGCATGTCTCCATTGACATCGACGTCGTATTGCCACCCGAAATGATGTCCACATTGGCCACCCTAAACAGTTTATATCAACTGGCAATTGAGCGAGTGCGCCTGGATGGCCCAGCAACACCACTACATCTTCCTTTCCCCTCGCTCTCTCGGCTTCTTCTGCGTGTCAGAGCACCATATCGCGAGCCTAACATCGACACCGAACGAGAGAACGCAAACGTTTTGGCTTTACTCTGCGCAGTTTCTGATAAGCTGGTCGAGCTCACCATATCTGGCGATCTTCTGACTCCGCCTTTCACCCAACTGGAGTGGGAACGTTTGAAATGCTTCACGGTGACGGACCACCCACCCTTCCAAAGTATTCCTATCCACTCGCTGGTTGGCCACATGCACAGGCTGTCCACACTCGAGCTTCTCTTCACGGCAGATTTCCGTGTCGCGAACCGGCGGCTTCCCCCCTTTACTCTCGACTACGCTGACAATTCACTGTCTCATTTGCCAGAGCTCTCAACATTTGCGTGCTCAAACCTCGATTCCGGCAATGCCATTTTCCAACACCTTCCTCAAAACCTCCAGACACTCCGCTTGCTCGCTCTTTGGGATTACCACGACCGCATACCTGTGCGATACGATCCTCTTCCCATCGGGTCTTTCGGGGAGCACGTGATGCCGACCACCGACGTCGCCAGATTACTCTCTGGTATCACCTCCGCGAACTTAACGTCCCTCTGCATCACGCTGCTCAGCGACTTGAGAGCGCGTAAGCCTATCATTGGCGCTTTACCCGCTGTCATTGAAAGAGTGCCGGCTCTGCGCTCCTTGGAGCTCCGCTATCGCCCATACGACTACACCGACATGTACTTTGTCGATTTTGTGGGGGTAAGCGTGACCATTCCAAATACACATTTGCAGATTCAAAATTTCCCCCAGATGCAATTCTTCTCGCTGCTCCAGCCCCTCCGCCATCTTGCCCACTTGACGCTATTCCTGATCTACTATATTGTTGAGGAAAATCCGGGTCCGCCAGGGCATGGCGCGCACAGCCTGCTCAAATATGTCTCGCCGCTGCAAACAGTGACGTACAAGTTTGCGGGCTATCGGGATGCCACGCTTGGGTCTCCCCTTGTGTACTGTTGGGACAAGTCCATGCTGCGGGATCCTCGCCCGCCACGAGTCATCCGTGAGCCACCGCTAATTGTCCTCGAGTGTTACAGCGATGATGACGAGTGAATTTGTGCACATGCGTATATCACGGGTAGTCTACATAGTAGACTACTAGTAGTTTTTCTGTTGATCAATGATCAGCCTGATCAGATCAGGTGTTGGCGGCCACTGCTGCAAGGCCTTGTCAGACAGTAGAAAGAGTGAACAACAGCTTTTTTGCTTCTAATTCACCATCCTTCGCCCACAGCCAATGATTGCATACCATGAGGCCAAGAGTAATTTGTAAACGGAGAGGGCCCACTGTGCACAACCCACTGGCACGACAGACTATGGCTTTTCGAATCAGATCTAGGTGTATTTTCCCCTAGGGCTTGGTTTTATAAAAATTTTGGCCTTAACAAACGGTTTGTAAAAAAATCTCCCCAAAACCCTGTTTATAAACCGGTTTTTAGGTTTTATAAACACTTCAGGCTAAGCAGCCTCGCGCCATGTAATTTTCATATGTTTGTCAAGGTGAAATACTACTAATAGTGGTGCCAGGTGAGGCTGAGAAGTTTCCCTTCAATATCTACTATCTCAGCTAAATTTTATAGTGTAGGATACTTTTGATGGCAGAGATGTCACACTTTGGCTGACTGTCACACTAGTGTCACATTGTTTACAAACACCCTCTTCCCAGAATGCCTGTTTATAAACAAATAAAACAGGGGTGTTTATAAACCGGTTTACAAACATCCCTATATAAACCAAGCCCTATTTTCCCCTTTGCAAGTGCCACGGCAACAAGTCTTTTCAGTGAGTGAACCAAGTTCAACACAAGAGTTTAATGGACTCTGCCGAATTCAAGTTTGTCGAGAGAATCCAGTCAATTTGTTTATCACCAGATGTGGTTATGTAGAATCAATAGAGCAATTCAGCTGCGCTTGAAATTTGAAAGACATGAATACAAGTGGATTATTCGCGAGAAACCTCGCTCCAGCTATATAAAAATACAGCGACTCTAAAGTACATTATTTTTTTAGTACGGGTCGGGGCCCGTTTTTAGGCGCGGGAAGATCAGACTGTTGCGAACAAATGGCGCATCAGCATCCTCCTCCTCATCCAGACCGCCCTCTGCCTTAGCCAGTGCCTTTAACTGCCGCTGCCGCCGCCGCGAGTAATAGTTGTCGTTCTTCCCTGCCCACTGCCCGATCTTGTCCACCTCTGGTTGCAGGCGAGCCAAGCTGTTCTGGACAGAGGCTTGCACGTCGAGCAGATGCACCAGAAGCCGCTGGCCGCTGAAGGTGTCCATGGAATTGCGGATGACCTCGAATACCTCGCTCGAGTTGGCACGTTCGATTGCCGGCTCAGCCAACGTGGGTGTGACAACACGTGCCTTGGTCGCGACCAACTGCTTTTCCATGTACTCCACAAAGCCGGTCAGGCTGCTGTGGGTGGGTGACTGACTTTCCAGTGCGCCAGTCGTCGCAAGCAAATCGAGCGTCGAACGCAGTCTTGGCAATGCAGACTCCAACCAAGGGATCACGATGCGAGGCGGGTTATCCACCGGTCCGCCGAGCTCCCCAATTCGTCCCGCACGCTGTTGCAGCTGTGCTTTCTGGGAAATAATATTCTGCAGTCCCGCCATCTCCAAAGGCGTCTCTCCAACCCCGTTTTCCATATAAAGACCCTCAGGAGCGGCGTTGATGAGCAACTGGGCTATCTTGGGGTACCCTGGACGAATGGCAAGATGGAGCGGAATCGACCCAGCGACGTTTCGGACAAGGACGGTTGCGGTCGAGAAGTTGAGCAGCTGTTTGACGACCTCGAGATTGCCGTTTTGAACAGCGACATGAAGGGGCTGGGTGGACATGATCAGTATGATTGTTTGAATAAAACACGCGTCTCACAGTGTTTTGCCGTCCGTAAGACTGTTGGGCCAACAACGCTTCGACGACATCACGGGGCAGCTCTTTCAAGAGGTGTTCAAGCAGTTGATGACGCGGTGATTGGGTTGCCGTTGCGAGTACGTCCGTTGCGAGCACGCCAAAGTGGCTTGCATTGTGATTCGTATACGAATTGTCGGCCATGTAGTGGAATATATTCCATCTGGAGCTGGTCAATCAATGAAAGAGCATGTAAAAAGAGCATACCCTCGGTTCTGATCCCTCTCTGCAGGTGAAATGTCTTGAGCGAGAAGGAAGTCCACGATTTCCTTGTCGCAACCTAGCTGAACTGCAACAGAAACTGTGTTGACACCGAGGAATTTAATTCTGAAGCAAGCAATTAATGAGTCATTTTAAGCTAGATGGAAAGACAACTCACCGCTCATCGACAGCAGTGCTCATAAGTTTGGGCAGCTTGCTGAAAAGGTAGGTGATGATGTCCATCTTCTTGCTGATCAGAGCCGCAGTCAACGGTGATTCGCCAACAGGCGTAATTGTGAGACCAAGCCATTCTGGGAGCACTTTATCGAGGTCGGGTGTTTGCTTGAGCAGCCTAGAGGTGTCGGTATTGTTCGTCGCTGCGTAATAACGGTATGCCTCCAATGGTCGCTCGCTCAACAAGTAGTCGAGGACCTTCTTGGCGTTGGAAGATATCGCTCGCCATACAAGCGGAGCTTCGAACTTGTCCGTCTCGTTGCTTGCATTCGGGTCGTTGCGCTTCGCAAGATCCATGCGCTTCTTCCCGTGAACATTCAAGCCAAGATACAACTTGTTCTGGTCGTTAACAACCGGGGCCAACTCGTCAGACTTGGGAGTCTCGATTTTGATACCCTGACCAGTGCGACGGATAAACTCGTCTAACATTTCGGGGCGGTCCCACGAGAGAATATTGCTGAGGAGGTAGTTGGGAAGCTCGGCATGTATCGGCGAGTGCTTGTAAAGCCTGAAGGCGTTTATGAATAGGTCAAAGTCGTCTTTGAAGGTGGCTGTCGAGAAAGGCTCGACTCCATTGTTGCCCGCTTGAAGTAGATCTTGCGGAGAAGCATTGCACTGAACCGAGGATGGGCGCTTCGCTATGTCCACGAAGTCGATGTCTGCTTGTTCAACGGTACCATCAGAGTCGTATCCCTCTGAGTCACCGTCGGAATCTTCATCTGTTACAAATCGTTAGCCGAAAGACTCGATAAGTCGATATAGCGAGGGGACAAGGGAACTCACCAGAATCGACATCAACAGTGAACTTCCTCTTATCTTCTGGGGCTTTATACTGTGCAGCAGCAATCGTCACAATCAAACGCGCGGTGTCCCAGTGTTTCCCGGAAATGGCAGCAAACAAGGGAGTGAATCCTTTTTGGATTGTTCAATCAGTTCAAAAACGGCGGTTAAGAGGAAAACTGTACCTGTTCGCATATACTGGTTTCCACTCTCGTCAGCAACGCAGACTGCAATTTGTAACGGACCCGAGTCACTTGTGACGACTTTGGGTGGCAAGCAGAGTTCCTGTATACGATCGTTCTTGCCGGCATAACAAGCCTCAAAAAGCTCGTCATAAAGACGCTCCGAGAAGCTTGGAACGGATTGTTGATTCCAGCCACCGGTCATCGCACAGTACTTGGGGCCTTTCGGGGCTTGGGCAGCCATCGTGGCCGAAAGTAGTGCTTGAGCTGCACGTGCTGCATGCCGGCGGTTGCCAAAGGTTTGAAGAGATTCTTCCTCAGAAGCGGTGGTGACTTGATCAGGGAAGACTTCCTGCCACGTCTTGGCGCCTTTCTCCACCAAAAACTTCTCTGTATCGACCAGGTAACCTTTGACATCCAGCCACTTGTCACGTGACTGCTCTTCGTAGGACGGTCCATTCGCCTGGCTCTTCGCTTGAGACGTCTTGCGCTTCGTTTCAGCAATGTGATCCGCCAAGAATTTTGCCCATCCCGACAAGGTCTCATCTGGCGAAGCAACCGGTGCTGCTGGTGGATTGATTTGAGCTTCGAACTCGGAAATACGGTCTTCGGCATAAGCAACAGCATGGCGGACCCAGTCTAGATAGGTTCTCCGACTCTCTGGACGACTATATTGTTGCATCGCCTGCTTAACGCCCGCGTTGATCTCTCCCCCAAGCTCAGTGAGCAAACGGACCATGTCGTCATGACGGACCAAAGCGGCTTCAATTCCCGAGTTATTCCGCTTGTCGGAAACATAGCTGTACTGCTTGCTGGAGAAGAGATGAGCGGAAACGAACTGGAGGAAACGAATATCAACCTTTCGGCGAAGGCCCGCTCAACGTCTTCTTGTGGAAGATCTATCTTGACACCATATGCCACAAGAGTAGCAACAGTCGAGTAATAACCCAGAGACACAGCCGCAACCAGCGGAGTAAGAGCACCACTCCATCCAACTTGAGGATAGTTGAGTGCTGCTTTCGCATTGGGATCGCATCGCAAAAATGTGGCAACAAGTTTGGCCTTGTCGGCTTCGACAGCTCGGCAGAAGATTGTTCGAGCTTCATGACCCGTGTCCAACGCCGAACAAGATGCCCCTGCTGCAATTAGACGTTCGGCAATCTTACAACTCCGGTCTTCGTCGTGGCCGACAATTGTTAGGGTTAACGGCAAGACTGCAGAGTTGGTGTTTTTCGATTGCAGGGGGGCTTTGGCATCGGCACCGGCGGCGAGGAGAGTTTCGACAATGGGAAGAGAGCCAAAGACGATAGCATATGCAAGTGGAGAATACGTGAGATCCCAGTCGGGAAGGTTGATGTCAAACACGTCAGGGGTATCGAACTCCTCTTCAGGAAGGTCTCCAGCGTTTGCAGGTTGATCAGCTGGGGCATCTGCTTTGGCCGCCGCGGTCTTATTCGGTTTCGCATCTTCACTACCCTCGGAATCAGCATCCTCGTCAGACATAGCCATATCGTCCTCATCGGAGCTCCAGTCATCTTCTGACGACATGCGAACTCTATCGGGGTCAACAACCTCTGCATCTTGCTTCTCGTCGTCGATATCGGTCTCGCCGAGCTGTTGCTTGTTCTGTGTACTTTTCTTCAGCAATTTTTCGACCACTTGAAGTAGATCCATTTGGGCCGCAAGATGCAGAGAGGTCCGTCCATCCACCAAACGAGAAGTCATTCTTGCCCCAGCATCGATCAAATCGCACGCGATTTCGACTTGACGACAGAGAATAGCGACATGAATAGGCATTCGACCAACATGGTCGCGGCGGTTGACGTCTTGACCCTTCTTCAGCAGTTTGGCAACAGCATGACGATCGCCAGATGCAATAGCAGTGAAGAACTTTTCGGTTGGACCAATGTAGACTTGGGCACTCCATTCGCCGACATCAATAGGGTTGAAGCTTCCAGAGATGGATTGACGACCAGGGTCTTCTTGAATGAAGGAGATACGCCCTTGGATGTACATATCGGACTCGTCAGCTTGAAGTTTGCGTTCATCCTCGTCAATTGGTTGGGGACAGTTCTGTCCAAATAAATGAGCACAAAATAGGACAATCTGAACTCGACAAACCTCGCAACAGTCCTCAATGCATTCTTGAATTGTCCCAAAGAAAGCTGGATGACGATGCAGCCGACGGCCCTTGTTCTTGGGATTGAAAGTAGCTAATAGGCGTAAATCAAGAGGAAGTAAATAAGAAACTGAGACCTACAGTTCATCCCAAGGTCCTGGCCGGGGTTAGAAATGGACATGTTGATGGAGAAGCAAACTCACAGTTTGATATACGAGTTTATCGATTCGACGAGCATCCCAACCAGGACCATAAGGAATGTGAAGCGAAGCAACGTCATAGTCATTCATCTCCATGCCCATCAAGGAGGAATCTGCTTTGAGATCGCCTTTAAACTTGCGCTTGTTGCGTCGATTGTATTGATTGAGTGGGTTGGAGCGACCACGAAGTGTGCGACGCGACTCTAGGAAGTTGAAACGCGTGTCCGTGTCAGTGAGCTTCTCCAGAACTAATAGTCGGGCGAGGCCGGTAATACGAGCAATTGAGCGCTCATAGATCTAGAAAAGAAATATTAGTCCTGACAATGAGTAAAGGCAAATGATTTTACAGTTGGGTCAATGTCCGAGCGCGAGAGTGTCGGAACATAGACTTCATATGCCCTGCCACTATATTTCGCGAGTCGAACCTCATAGGAAGGAGACCGGCGGGTCATGTCAACGGTGTTGCATTGGCGCATCATGGCGACAATGGCACGAGGGTTGGCGTAGACGCGGCTGCCATTAAACAGGACGCATGGCGCATCAATGTCAAAGCCAGCGAGAATCTCCGCAGGACTTGAGTATAGACGAAGAACGATTTGAACAGACCGATAAGGATATTGGGCTATGAACAAGGTAAAAGCGAAGCTTAGTCGCAGTAGAATAAACTCACAGTGGATCGATATAGTATGCTTAGTCCGCACACAAGTTACATCCCACGGGACAGAGTCGCGAACCGCTTCGTAGATCTGGACGATTTTGGCCTCTGCCTGCTCGGGCGTCAAACCCCATAGGAAAAGGTCAACATCCGAGGTTGGGTACGCGGCACTGTGGTAGTACTTGCGAATGGCCCGTTTCGAGGCCTTGGCTTCTGGCGAAAGAGGGGTCAAACACGCTAGAACCGACCCTCCTGCAGCGACGACATTATTCCAGTCCAACAACTGGCTCAATGAACCCTCAGAAAACACGCCCCAGTTCTTCTTGAACTCGTCAATATCAGTAACCATGGAGGGCTCGCCGTCGCTCCTACGATTCTGGTCGGAAAGCGGCATAACATATTTCGTGTTGAGGTCAGTGTTGACAACACGTGCCCGAGTGGTGCGAATGTCGACGGGGGCGGCGAAAACATCCACGAGGCCCACATATGGGTCGCTCAGACGCGGGTTGGCCTTGTCTGTCGCGAAAAGGCGGCGTAAGTCGGTCTCATCGTCGAGTGATGGTTGGAGGAGAGGGTCGAGAGAGGCCCCTGGTTGGTGGGGAGTGGAAAGAACACGCTGGATGAACGCCTCTGCTTCTGGAGTCTGTGCCATGGTGGTGTACCAATGGCGACAGGGGATGGACGTTGGCTTTAAAAGGCCAAGCGGCACGTGAGAAGCCCGCCCCGACGTGATGCCAAGCCCGCCATGAGTCGGCCTCGAGTCAGACATCATCCATCTTCTGGATGACTCGTGGGCGGAGTTCCGGAAGAAGTGACTCTGCAGCAACTTTTTCATGGCATCGTGGCCGTCGAGAGCAACACCTGGGAATGATCTGCTCGTATCGTAACGTAGCAACTCTATTGGCTGTGAGCTGTGTGTTTGGTCGTTAATCACTTAAGGCTTTCTAAAGTATATAGTCCAGGGTGTGACGGAAGTTCTCAACATGAGGTTTCGAAACGTGTCTTCAATCTCTCTTATCGTATGCTGGTTTCAGGGCTACTGATAACCTCATCACCGAATTCGCACTTTCGAACGACCATCATGACTGCTGTTCCCCCAGAGCCTCCTTTGACTCTCACTTGCGGCCGCGCAACAGGCTCTCCAACCGCCTCAACTGGGGTTCGTGGACCGCGTGGTAACGCAAACGTATACCGCCGAACGAGAGTGAAGAAAGCTTCTCAAGGCTGTTCTCAATTTCTGAAAATTCTGATCGGTGTAGGCAGAGACTACTCTTCTTTTCGGCGCTCGCATTACAAAAGTCTCACCATCACGGTGTTACAGTCGTTCAAAACCTATCTTGGCAGCCAAGTCAGACCGTTCACGCTTTGTGGGTGCATGAGAAAGTTCCAACTTGACTCAAGTTGTCTGAATAGATTCCGTTTTCGAACAGTGCCGATGACTGAATTGCCTTATTATTCCAAAACTGCGAAGCCTTCAAGAATCTTGTCCAAAGATATCGATTCTACCTGACTCGAGTGGAGGACCGCGATAACAATATACTGTATACGAAAAAAAAGGTTATTAGTCTGAGTGCTCAATATTTGAGTAAATGGGGCGGGGCGGGTCACGAATCATGATGACGCGGGGAGGTGCAGGTCGGGCGAGCATTTCCCTACCCCACACGCAAGTCATTTGTGATTGCGGCGGCGAAACGTAGCCGGAAAACTTGTACACCACGGTCTGCAGCGTTGGAACCTCGACGAACAACCGATAGGCAGCGTGTCCTGGTGGGCCCGGATTCATGTGGATCCTGAGGTAATCGATGAAGATGCAGAAACGATCGAGTTGGTGAAATTTCCGCAGTGCGGTGAAGAAACCCGGCTGAATGTAGAGTGAGCGGATCGTCAGCGACCATATATGGCTTCGTGCTCACGTCTATAAAATCGATGGTCAAGAGGCGATCGTCAGAATTGTCATAAATCGTGTGCCGGAATTCGAGGTCGAGTACATTTGGTGCCGCAGACGCAATTGCCTCGATGAGTACAGCAGCTGGCGACGGGGGCCCAATCGTCATCGAGAGAGCAGTGAGATTCGGGAAGGAAGCTTGACTGAGCAATGACGTCCATTGCGGATATGACACCCGGTACTCACCCATCCAGCCCATAGGTGGAGAGTCAAGGGTGGTGGCGCCAGCCTTTGATAGTCAAGCACATCCCACGCCGCGAAGAGGTTGAGCTTCTTGAGGTTTTGCGGAAGAGCTTGAAGAATGGGGTCATCGATATGCACATTCGAGAGCGACAAGACAGAGAGCCGCTGGAGGACTTGGGAAGGGACTGTTTCACCTGGTCGAATGACCCTGAAAGGCGAATATTGTTTCCTGGCAAGATCCGGTGTATAACGAAGCTCAAGCTTCTCGAGAGATGGCATCTGTCCAACAAGAGCGGACAACGGAATGTGTGTGGGGGGCAGGTGCTCCGTAATTGCAAGGGAAATCAGTCGTGGCCAGTGAATTTCGCTGAAAGCCGGGGGTAAAATGTCGCCAGATATCGTGAGGAAATGGAGCTTTTGTGCGACAGTCCACAAGAAGCGCATGATATTCTGTGCTTCCTGCGCCAAGTCCACATTTGCAGGGCGGGAAACGCCGAAAAAGCCCCCAATTCGAAGCGACAAAGCTTCCAAGGCGGGGAGGGTCATCCGGGCAAAATTCACCTCGCTATCGAGCCTGATTTGGTAAATTTCAAGTGAGGATAACAGCGGTAGTTGGCTTAAAGCAAAAAAACAAAGGTTGGGGACGACGGAGTTCAGTCTTATCGTGATTTTCGTTAGGTGGGACATTTCAGGAAGGGCCATGAGCAGCGCGTCTGGGACAACGATGGCCGCCTTCCGTGAAGCGGAGACATCCCGGATGTGTAGAGTCCTGTATTGACCTTAGCAACAGCAAAACTAGTTGGGTCCTTCGTCTGTCACCTAAAATGGGACCATAGAGCGCGAGGCGGCAGACTTTCGTGTCGGTTGTGGATTGTGGCAAACATCCAGGGTAGAACTGTGGCTCTCAAGCGGCGCGAGACGGTGGCCAGAGAAACCGCGCAGTCTCGATTGAAGTCTTCCTGTACATTTTTTTCTGAGTAAAGGATTCGACTTAGTGCATCCAATATGAGATGAACCAGCTCTGGAGCAAGTAGCTCGAGACAAGACGACATGCTTGGTGGTGATGTGACCATTGAACTTAGTTTAATACTCACAGCCGCGTTTCAAAAATGTTGAGGGCGGAAACGTTAGTGGGAAGAGGCAAAGTTTTTTAACCCACGTTTTTATCATACAAACTGGACCAAAAAGGCAAAGTTTTCGGGGGAGAAGAATTTATTGGACAAAGTAAAATTTACAAATAGGTATTTTGGCGCTACAAATGGCAAGTATTACTACAAATGTTCTTTAGCTACAAAGTCATCTAAAAACATGAGGCTTTTCTACGAGTTTTGAGAACGAGGGAAAATGTATTCTAAAAGGGGAAGTATTCGAATGAGTTTTTCTGCTCGAAAAAGCTCAAGTGTTTTGACTCGTTTTTTGACCCGATTAATGGAAAAAAAAACATCTAAGATTTAGATGCGTTTTTTTGACCCGGAGAATGTCGAGTATTTTAATGTGTTTTCCGAACCGGAAAACTTCAGGTATTTCAATCCATTTTTTGAACCGGAGGACAATAAGTTTTTTGACGCAAAATAGATAATAGAAAAACTTGAAGTTTTTTTGAGAGGTGAACGATTTCGCCCGAGATCGCGCGAAAAGCGCTTGATTACATTCATTCATACATAAACGCGGCGGACTGGGGCATCCATGCCCTCCAACATGAGCTCTACCCCCCTCAATACGCCAACTCGGCCCCCACAATCAGCAAACCCAAAGAGTTCTTGATGTTTTTTGCAGCACCTTCGACACGGCACCCGGCGCAGCCATGCCGGACGAAACCACCGATGCATGATCTTTTCTGAACCATGGATCAGCGCCGGACCCAGCGGCAAAGCCTGACGGCGTACCCGAACCGCTTTGGCGTGTCGACCGCCCATATGGCTTCCCAGCGGCGCGAACAGCACCGCTAGGGTAGAGCACGGGTCAGGGTCAACCCGCAGGGGTTTCAGGGTAGGGTCTGTCAGGGTCAGGGTCAGGGTACACCAATTTCTGAACCCGGCCAAACCCGGACCCTTTCAGGGTCAACCCGGAGGGTCCAATAAGCTGTTGTGATTTAACAATTCCCTATCTAAACATGATTTTTGTGAGTTTTTAAGAGACACAAAAAATTACATGTCACTTAAGTCACTCGTGTGACATGTGACATATAAGTAAACTGTATTAACTATGCTTAAAATCTTGAAAAATAGGCTACATATTCTATATCTGAGCCAATATCACATGGCAATATATATATGATGTCAAAATTATTGTTCCAAATACACCTTCTGCTACCATGTCTGTAACCCGTGGGTCAACCTGGACCCGGTTAGACCCGTACCCGGAAGGGTCAGGGTTGGTCAGGGTCAGGGTCAGGGTCAGCCTTCTGAGACCCGGACCCGGACCCGTGCTCAACCCTAAGCACCGCTCCCACTCCTCCAAGCGCTTTTTGTACCGGGTCGAGTACCCTATCTTGAAGGCGACGCGCCCATCGTCGAGGACTACCTCCAAAGCGTAGATGTAGCCGATTTTCGGGTCATTGACGTATATATATCGGTGCCCGATTGTCTGCGCGCGATTGTAAACGGCCTCCTTGAATTTGGATTCGAGTTGGACCCATTCGGCCTGGGTCGTGGGAGCAGGGTATGCCGAGAGGACCTGACGAGCGATGAAACGCACTTGTAGGTCGAGCCTGTGGTATTGGATGAGGTCTGCAGCGCAGGGGCGCGCCCATAAACTTCGACGGCATGAAGGGATAAAGTGGTGCTTGGTGTGACGATGGCGGCGAAGGTCACGTTAAGCGCGAGAGCAGTGGTGACGATGGGTGACGAAGAATGCGCTGGGACGTGTCGGTCAACGGCGGGAGTGAGGAGCGGATGGGCAGGTGAATCGGGAACGGTGTAACGGCCCGGTGACCGGCTAATTGACGCCGAATCCCGAAACGGTGCGAGTGGGCCGACCGGGAGAACGGGTGTGGACGGTCCGACGGCCCGGTTGCCGGATAAGGCCCGGGGCTTGGCGGGGGCGCGTTTGGCGCGCTGAGCTGGCCATGCCAGCCTATGAGGGGGGCAGAGGGACGGGCTGGTCCGCCGATGGTGGCCGCGCCAACGAAAACTAGGGCTAGGGGAGATTTGCGGGCGCGAGTGTGTCAATTCGTCGGTGGTTGGGGAAGACATGACGTGAACGGGTTGGTGTTCGTCGGCGGGCCCGTCTAAGATCCCTAGGATCAGTTAGCATACCATAATACATGCAAATTGAAGCACATACCTGGAGTTTTCATCCCCGACGACGTGGACGAGTTTTTGCCCGCCTGAACGATTTTTCGTTTAGGTGCAAATTTTTGAGGCCTGACGAGAAAAAAGATCGCCCAAGGGCTTCGCCACTGCCGACGCGAAACGCGTCCACGAATGCAGGGTGGTGACGATTTTTCGCCCACATGGACGATTTTTCGCCAACAGGGCGATTTTTCGCCCAAGTGTCCATCTTGAGGCGGAAGGGGAAGGGGG